GACTTTTCTTCATAGACTCATTCCAACAGCCTTCCTAATTTGAACTTTCAAGCTGCCAATTGCTCTCATGAGAGCATTTACTGTTTGAGTCACAGCATCAACGCCAAGAGACAGCTTGTGCCTCAGATTCAAATATTGAGTATTTTTAAGCCTTATAAAACTTGTAATATGTTTACATGCATAGTTGAGCGACAGAAAAATCTCCAACAGACCATATAATTGAATTATAGTTATTTTCCCAGTATAGACTGTTAATTTCCTGCTCTTGTTTTTGCTGCTGTCTTCCTCGGTTACTTACCGTTACTCAAAGCTGGAGCTAAAAAGGTGAAACATGTGCAGGGTGCCTTTGAATTTATTTCTGGTGATGATGATGATGATGTCACCGGACACCACTGCTGCTATCCATCATTAATCATATATACCCCGATGATCTGTTTTTGCTTTATTGCAGTTGACTCTATTTTAGTGCACCACATTCTTTATGTTAATACTTTTACTATGATTCTATGAGAATAATTTCAGTCTGTTTATCCATCCATCCATCCATCCATCTTCAATCTCTCCAATTCTATGGAGCTTTACCCCAAAAAGTGCCACTCTGAGATCAACAAACAATATACACGCACAAATAAATTCTGCTGATGGCCTCCAAACACTTAGGCAGTGATGCACTTCATGAGTAAAAACTGCTTTCAGTAAAAACTTGGACTTACACTAGGCTTCAGCTGTGGAGAAGATAAGCTTATTACAGCCTGTTATCTGTCACTCTGTGTGTATATGTAGTTTGCAGAACAGTAGATTAGCAGAGGGCTAAGAGACAAGATGGATTGGTGAGAGTTTGCGGGTAAAAAAAAAAACTGGGTGTTGGAGAGCAGCAGTGGCAGGGAAAGATAAGCGAGAGAGAAAGAGTGGCAGGAAGGGGTGGATGGATAAAGAGCAGGATGTCAACCTACGTACTCAAAGCTAAAAATCCAGGTAGCTGGAGAGCGGCGGAGGAGAAAGTGACAGAAAAAAGGGGATTTAAGAAGCCACAAGGAGATTTAAACAGGGAGACTTACATTGATTCCTTCCCAGGAAAACTCGGCACGACCATGCTGGGAAAGATGGGAGGAAGGAGAGGAAAGAGGTAAAGGAAGGGAAGGAAGAGAACAAGGAGATTTAAAATAAAGGAAAGCGAGGACTGGTACAAAGAAAATGGGCTTAGTGTGCTGTTTGTATGCGTTGTTTCCTCCATTGCTCTGAATATATCTGATTAGATATTTAGGAAACTACGTTGCTTAAATTTCTCCGGGATATTCTTTAATCAACCAATAATGGAGTTGGCACCCTGCACATGCTGTATTTGTGTTTTCCAGAGTTTTGATCATAAAGCAAAGCTGTTTTTTCTATTTACTTGCAGTCTACAAGATTCAAGAAAATGAGAACTAAAGAGTTCTGATAAAAAAGCGTTTTAAAAAATGGGGCTTCTGTTAACAGTATCCTTGATGGTTCAATGGAGCCATGGTTCAGTGGCTCCATGTGCTTCTGGTTGGAGGGTCAGATGATGTGGGTCAACGGGCAAGTTGCTCTGTCTGGGGGTAAATGGACTCACTTAGCTTATCAGTTCAGACAGTTAGGTAGCTAGATTATTTTCTGTGTTTTCTGTGTTGATAAAGTACCAACTTTTCAAACTTTTCAAATGAATAAAAAGAGTAAAGTTGTAATGATTTGTGTCTTTCCCTTCTCACCTGTGTGTAGGCTTATGGAACAGCAGAAATTCTGGGTCTCGGTGGGCTGGGTTTACTCACTATCGTCTCACCCTGCTCACATCTGGACTTTCATAAAAAGTTTGGTTAGATGTTCTCAAGTTAAATTCTCATTTATTCTGTGTACATTTTGAGACAAGATTAAGCTTTGGAATCTGCAATTTGTGAATTTAGACAGACAAGGTGTGGCTGTATGTGTTAAAATCTCAAAATGATTTACTTCAATCTCCTCAGAGTTTCTGTAAAGCAACATGAAAAGCAGTTAGTGGAACAGGTGGACAGACACCGGAGTTGTTTAGTGCCGTATGGCTCACCGCCTGCATGTTATCGGCTCCACAATGGCCAGATTGTTTAGGTAACCAATGGATACCACTCCGCAATGACCCTGTTGCAAGGGGCAACAGCAAATCAGCTAAGTACTCAAACCTGGATTGCATTTATTTTGTCTCCTCACATGCCTGTGCAACAGTGTATTCAAACAGCCATATAGAGTCCCTGCAATGTGCAACGGGCACAGCCATCTTTATCTGTAGATGCAAAATCTTTGGAATTGGAGCAGACAGCCGTCAAAGAGATTTTTCCTTTTTTCTTTTTTTTCCATTTTCCATTTGTCACAATGCCCTAAAGAGTTTCTCCACTGCCAGCGAAAGCGTGTTATCACTGATGTACCATTCAAATCCAAAGATCACAGACTGCATGAGAGGTGGAATTCCCTTTACTTTATGTCAACGTAAAGGCCAAACTATAAAGCTTTTACCACTGGACAATATGCTCGACAATATGTTATGTGTGCTTATATATAAATCCAAATGCAATTCAAAGCAGTAAACTTACAAGGTGACTCATAGAATATGTAGCTGTCTGGGTCTTAGATTAAGATAATTCACTGCATCAAAAAACACAGAAATGTTAGCCTTAAAAATCTAGGAAGAACAGAATATCCTCTCTCTTGTTGGCACAAGCAAATGGTTATAAACCATTTTGCATTACGAGAGGAGTCAACAGAAAAAAAGGGATTGTAGATATTATGAATTTGTTCAGAGATTCAGGAGATGCTCAGCCTTTGTGTCTGTACTCATTCATGCTTTATTCAACAGCTGCTGGACACTGAGACCATAGCCTGCATATCTAAATGACTGAATATGAATTTAGGTCTGAGTTGGTTTAAGGCCTTGCTTTTTCTGCCCTGATTAGCGTTTTTCATCAGGTGTCAGAGTCAGGGGGCAATCGGCAAATTGAAACCAAGGGGGAGCAGAAACGGAGAGCCAGAATTAATTGAATCTCACTGCAGGCCACATGCGCTCTCTTGGAAGCCTCAATGTGATATTCATGTCAGAAATGTTTAGTTTCATGGCGAGAGAATGAGGAATAAGAATAATCCTTCCCTAACAAGGCAGCCCAAGATATGGCGGAGGGATTTAGCAAAGCCTTGCAGACGCCACAAGTCGCCTCAGTTGTTTTTTTCATTTCACGTCTACATTAACAAGAGCGGGTAAAGATGGGTGGAATGATTTTCAGCCTTTGAAACTACTAGGCCTAAATAAAAACTATTTTACAGCATGAATCATTCAAAGATTCTGTATAAAACCAACACAACTAAAGTATACCAATTACATATCACAAATAAAGATTGGTCGAGACAATTGGACTCACTGAGGATGTTGTTTGGATTGAAGTTATTCAATACTAAGAAAAGTAAATAGTAAAGAGGATTCAGTTAGCCTAAAACTATTTGTTTTGCCTTGACTGGCTTGAGATAATGAATCATTCAAGGCCTTTAAATCATGTGCCTCCATAGTATTGTGAAACCATCTAAAAGGATTTACTAGAAGTAATTAATGTCTTTAGATTATGAAAAATAACTTTTTTCGGAGGTGGAGGCTGGAGAGATTAGTTCAATTTCCAGCTGGCCATAAAGTTATTCGTGTTTGCTCTTCAGCTCTAAAACATATCAGCAAGATGCAGACCATCTGGAAAATTCAAAAAGCCAAGCCCTTTCATGTCATCTCACCCTAACCTTACCCAATAACATCTGAAACTGCAGATGCTGGCAGATGTTAAGGTACATTCATCCTT